GGTTTCTGCCTGGCTTACCTAATTTGAGCTCGGGAAGCTTGCTCTGATCCTCAAAATTGGCATCCATTGCCGATTTGGCGTTAGGGTTGTCTTGTCTCTGAGGCGGAAAAGGAAAAGTGGATTTACATTACACGCCAAAACGAAATGAACATAAATGGGGTCGGGGATTGGCGGGAAAAGGGATGAGCGGTAGCGGGATTTTGGAGGGTCGCGTGGGATTTTCGGATATTAGTTGGACTTATTGGGCCGAGCCAAGAAGGCCGAGAGATTTCTAGATCCAAGCCCATGATATATTTCTTTTGAATACCAAATGATGAGAGGGGTGTTTTTTTTAATTTATGAAAATTAAAATGATATTCTATTTTAATCTAATCTAAATTATGGGGAGTAGGATTTGAACTCGGAATCCATAATATAAATGTATTTAATCACAAATATTTCTTACACGAAATTATATATCTAATTTATTTATTTATTGAAAATAAGCAATAGTAAAATATTGATGAGCAAACAAAAGTACAAAGCAATTATGTGCCAAATATGGATAAATCTTCTCTAGTGACCAAACACAACAACATGTTAAATTGATATGAAGATAATCATGCACGATCCAAACAATGACTAAATCCCTGATCCAACAACTATAGAAGCACATGTACTCAAACCTACAATATAAATCCGTTGAGCAATGGCAAAAACGGAAACTCCTTATCAAAAGCTAAAAGCTAAGAAATAAAAATCCTAAATAGAAAACAAATCACAAGAAACTCCTAAATAGTTTTTGAAAATTATTAGTCTAAAACAAAACTAAGAAATAGGATCACCGCTCCACATTTTCTGGGCAACTCAAAGAAAATCATAGTGCCATATTGGCTAAACCCATAGTCCCAGAATGGCTAAACCCAAACCCAACACAACAAGACAGCCTCCCCCCTTGTGTATGTGGGCCAAGATACGATGACCGAAGGGAGTCATCTCCTTGTGTATGTGGGCCAAGATACGATGACTATATCATGGCGATGACGTCATTCATGGCCAATGCTTCTACATCACAAAATAAACAAACAATCTTGGGGGAAAAGATAGGGAAGGAGAAAAGAAGGGATGAAAGGAAAGGGGAGAAGGTAGGGAAGGCTTGTAATTACAATGAACTTGTAACTCAAGTTGTTAAGTGCATTTACTCATGCATATGAGGTCCTAATTAAGTTCAATTCCCCACTCCCCATTATCGCTTATATTATTATTATTTAAATAAATAAATAAAAAACCCTAGACTGTAATTTAGTTACCCAACCCAAATGAGGAGAGAGAGTGTTGACAATGCAGCCTCACATGCAAGTCCCTCATATCCCTAATTCAAGCTTCACATAAAATCAAGAGCTTATCCAAATAGAGAGATTGTGCTGTCAGTCATCGTCCTTGTTTGTCCCAGAATTATACTTTACACACATAATTATATCCGAAAAATAATACAAATTTGTAAGCTGAAGAAGTCTGCTTAACTAATTTATATTCTAAAATGGTCTTGTAAGTTCGTAAACTTGTAAAGTAGTTTCAACATTTTAATTAATAGGTTAATATTTGTGGCGCAGAATATCTCATATAAAGTGGGATATATCTATATATACATATACCTAACCTTTCTGAATAGCTACTCAAAATAGTTAATTACATCTTGTTGTATCCATCTTATAAGAAGTTGTCCTATTCTTCAGGAATCGTATCAGAACACAAAGAAACAAAGGAAAAGACAATGTTAATAAAAACATGCAGAAAACTGTCTTCTTTAAGAGCAAACAAGAAATTATACATCAAATAGTACTGAGAGCAGACATGTACCTTTTCATAATTTTCTTATCTCCCGATGGTTTTTTTTTTATAAATAAAAATATAAAAAATATAAAAAAAATTCCCTGTTTTGCTGAAACGTGTCGAGATATAAAGTTGGGGTGAGACCATTAATTGCACCATCTATTTCAGCTCTGTTGAGGACATTTCCATCTTTTTACACACTGAAGAACAAAGGCAATGCGACATAATAATAACATAGCTAAAGTCTTCTCCGCAAACCTAAAATCGGAATTTTCTCAACCTTAATCAATGTGTGTATCTCCTTGGCAGCATCACAATAAGTTATTCGATGGGTTTGAAGCATCAAATCAAATCACCACAAGGAACTTCTTACTTAGCAGTTAGCACGAAAGAAAAAAGAAAGGGTCATATAAATTGATGTGCATAATGCAGAAACCTAGCTAGATGCTTTGTTTTGATGTAGCTACTACTACTAGCTAGGCATATGAATCTCAAATGTTTTGGGCCAAGTTGGGCTTTTCAGAAAATGAGAAATAAAAACATTTGATTTGAATGAAGAAGAAAATCAAAACTTTGCGCACAGGAACCATAAAGGTACGTACAGCATCGCATCGCATCGCCCATAGAATCTAGCTATAGCTAGCGCGCATGCCTCCACAAAAGTGGTCGTGTCAGCAATCAGAGACTTGCGGGTCAGATGCATAATTCCTTGTTTGGCTCCTGTAATCAGCTTCATTTATATGTTAATTGCTACATTAATAATAGTCCTTCCATAATTCCATATGTATATATGTCTACACCCTCAGATCAGATGGTTCTCCTAGGTTTCATCATAAAATAAAATAAAAAATGATAAAGGGCAAAGGGCTTGTAGTACAAGTGGTTAAGAATATTTATCTTTGCATGCACCTGAGGTCTAAGGTTTGATTCCCCCCTCCTTTAATATTGCTTGTAAAGCTTTTGCCGTTGTGTATGTGGATTTGTTGGTGATAGAAGCATTACTGAATAGTATTGAGTTGAAAATGATGAACTATAGGACTAGATAGGAAGATATTTTTAGCACACAAAACATTAGTCAAAGATCAATTAAAGAAATTCCGGACAAGTAAAGAGACTGAAGTTAAATGAGGTAGAGCAATTATGAAATTGTAATTACCAGAAATGGGCACTGAAAAAGAAACTTGTCTAAAAAATTCCTTCCTATGTGTGGAAAATGGTGCATCCCCTAAAACACTACTCACATGATGATATGATGGGATCGATGAGAGATTCACATAGAGATATATAGAGTCCAAATGAATGTAGTGGGAAAAACAGGGGGGATGAAGAGTAGTAGTGAAACTGAAGGAAACCATATGACATATATGTCATGTAATGAAAGCTAAAGTTTGAACCACAAATTTGAACATGGTGGTACAGACAGGCAGAGAACTCGCCCGCAAGGAAATGAAAGCACTTAGACTAGTAACCAATGTAATGTAACCATGACTTTTTAGGGTTTTATCGTACGCTTTCATTATCACCCACTCTATTCTATGATATGGGTACACGCATCACCCTTTACAATTTCATAGTTATCTCCTCCTTGAAAGCAACCTCAGAACAACCCCATGGCACTGGCTTATACATCATGTGGTCCTCGTAATTATGCCAGTCTAAAGAGGTCAGGCGCCTATATATATACTCTAGAGAGAGAGAGAGAGAGAGAGAGAGAGAGAGAGAGAGGGACAGATAGAGGTGGTTTATATATAAGTGGAGGAGAGAAGAACGGCATGTATAAATGGAAATAAAATTTAAGAAAGAAAGGGATCGAATATATGTGTAGATGCAAAGAGGGCTCGCTTTCAATTGTCGATAGGACTATTGCCATTTTCATGTAATAAGCTTTTGATGAGATGGGTGTTTTTTTAGTGGCAATTGCTCATTGGCTGGTGCTGTAAGAAGGTCTTGGTACAGGGCAGTGGCAAGTACAAGCATAAGCAACTCTTTTCTTGAGAATGAGAGAGAGTGAGAGAGCTTTTGAGCTTTCATTTCGTAAAAAAGCTAAACCGATAAGAACACGCATGGGATGGGAGAGGGAACCCAACCCAACAACATTCTTACATAGAGAGAGAGAGAGAGAGAGAGAGAGAGAGAGAGAGGGGTCTTCTCCCTTTTGGTGACAGCGACATTAATTGAGAGATGCCCCAGTCAAAGGAGTGTTTTGCCCTATGAGCTGAGAGGGCAGGCCTCACAGTTGTATGCCCCTTTGAGTGAAATAATTGTCCTTCCTTTCCTAGGGTTAGACAAAGCCACGTGGAGAGGTTCAACATATTGGTTGTCATTATTTCTTAGCCCATAGCAAAAACACAAAAGAAAGAACACAACACAAAAGCTAGCTAGCAAAACTTGGAGCAAGATATTTTATCTTTTGTTTACCTTTTGATATATATATATATATATGTTGTTTGACTTTTCATGTATTACAACGTTAATGTCTCAGTTTCTTTCCTTTTCTTTCCCTTAACTAGTGAAAACTAATGTGACAATTCTTGAATATATGGTATGATGATATATATGATTCAAATTAATTGTCTAAATTGATTGAAACTCAAGACGACTATTAGAGGAAGGAATATTCATATAAAGAAAGAAAATCACAGTAATGTTAGTAAGTAGTACGTTGAATCTTCTTAAAACAAAACACAGAGCCCACAGAGCCCACTCTCCATCTAGCTATAGCTAGCTAGCTCTTGACTGTGGACTGTGGATTCCATGCAATATTGCAAGTTTGGTTATATAATTTGTTGAGAGAGAGAGAGGAGAGAGAGAAGGGCAGGCTTGGTTATATATTGAAGTTAATGGGGAATATAATTGTGTTGTGTAGATGATCTGAATCGGGCCACCTGCACAGCACGTGAAGTGGTGCAAATACTAGGTGTTTTCCTATCCACTCACTTCCCACAATATATCAGTGATCATCTCTAAAGTGTAGAGCCAACTTTTTGATGAAAAGATGATATAAAGATTAAGAAAAAGATAGCTCCTTTGTCTCGGCAATAAATTGCCTCCCTACCTCCTTTGATTCTTTACCATCCTCCTCCTTTCTTTACTCTCTTTCTTCTCTCTCTCTCTCTCTCTCTCTCTCTCTCTCTCTCTCTCTCTCTCTCTCTCTCTCTCTCTCTATATATATATATATATGTATATATATATTCAACCTGCAAAGCATGGACATATGGTATAGTGTTGCTGTGCTGTCTTTCTCAATCTCTCTGTGTCCCCAACGATGATGATCGATGGTAAATGTACGATCTCTGTGTATATATCTCTCTTTTTTCTAGCTAGCTCTCTCTCGCGCGCACACACACACGAAGACACCAAATAAATACACATAAATAAAGGTGCACATATACATACACATAAACAACTGTATATACTGTCTAATATCTATGAATTAATGTGTGTTTATAGACATGAGCAGGCAGCTGTCTTTCTCAAGCTATAAGCTCAGCTGGCCGCAAAAACAGTAAAACATGGCTGTCTTTCTCAAGTCGTCCTGCTCTTGCAGACAAAGAGGTAGCTGCTAGCTAGGTGAAAGCAAATGCATTCAAAAGGGCCGGTGTGGAGGTGCATGAAATTGAACATCTTTAGCTCAACTCATTCAATGGCTCAGCTCATCATCAAGTCGTTCTCAAAGTTCAAGCCTCACCATCACTAGACCAACATCACCTCCCCCCCAACAGTACTAATTGTACTAGCTGCTCTTAGGTAACTAGGGTTAATCGCTTGGTGCTATTTCATTGAAACTCTTGAAAGCAACCCCAACAAGCTAAGAGAGGGGATATAATGTTTCCCTCAAACTCAAACAATAATCTCAACAATACTGGCAACGAATTACCCGTGTCTTATCCTCATGTCGACCAATCCTTTTTCCACAGCCGGCCTTTTCTCCATGAAATCACTACATTAAACCCCAATTCCCTTCATCCCAATCTCAATTCCAAACAAGAAGAAGAACAACGACAACAAGAAGGCCCTCATCACCATCCTTTGTCTTTCTTCTACTTCCCCTCTCCTTTAGAAGACGACGATGTTTTACTCTTCCAACAACACCATCACTATGACCATCAGCATGACCATGTCCATGACATGCCGCTCCATGACTCACAACAAGCACCACCCCTTACTACTATGAGGGAAGCTGTTGCTGCTAACAACACCTTAGCCGATGATCATCGTCAGACCACCACCACTTCCACTACTCTCAATATTAAAATGGTGGATTGGGATTCCAACAAAAATCATGGCGAGATGATGAATATGGATCAGCCACAGATCCCGAGAAGAAGGTCTTGCAAGAGAGACCGCCACAGCAAGATAAATACTGCCCGAGGCCTCAGGGACCGCAGAATGAGATTGTCGCTTGAAGTTGCCCGCAAGTTCTTCTGGTTGCAAGACGCACTGCACTTTGACAAGGCCAGCAAAACCGTTGAGTGGTTGCTCATTCAGGCCACACCTGAAATCAAGAAACTAGTAGGAGACTGCAAACACATGATGAGCTCTACCAAAAGCACATCTCCTGCCACTTCTGAGTCATGCGAAGTGATATCTGGCATAGACGAGGCTGCAACAAACACCAACATTCACATTAATATTGATGGGGGAAATGATGGTGATGATAAACTAATACAAAGCTGCGAGATCCAGCCTTCAGCCAAAGAGAGAAAGGTTGCCCGCCGGCAATTGTCAAGGAAGACCGCATTTCACCCTCTTTCAAAAGCTTCGAGGGAAAAGGCAAGGGCAAGGGCAAGGGAAAAAGCAAGAGAAAAGCAGCGGACGCATCAAAGAGTAGTTGATGTTGATGATCAATCTAAGAAGCAAAGAGGTGATCAGGAAAACCTGAGCCGATTGGGTTCTTGGAGCCCCTTTGAAACTGGGGAAGAATCAGCTGGGACTCAAAGCCACAACAACAACAACATAAGCATCAATTCATTGGAGGGGCTGGTTCATCACGAGATTGAAGAACCAATGAGCAGCTGCCAAGTAGGAGATCATCCAGACTTGGTTGTTGATCATGGAACTACACATGATCCTTTGGTGATTATGGGAAAGTGGAGCCCCCCTTCAATATTCAGTTCTCTGCAGCAAAACATTGGAATTTCCCAAGAGGTAACTTCCAACAACAAGTTTTGAATATTCTGATATATATATTTATTATTATTTTTATTTATTTATTTTCACCACAAATAAAATGTCTGACATTTATATGTATATAATGCACTCAATCTCTGGTACTCTAACAAACGTGCACATATATATAATCACACACACACAGACACACAAAATATGTCCAAGATAAGTAAGTAAGGCACATTAATAAGAATTTTCTACTCTTAATTTGCAGCACCATCAGTTTGCAGACATCCAATTCTTTGGAAAACCATGGGAGGTCTACAACAATCCTCATAATCTATTCTAACGTGGAGTTCTCTCCTCAATCTTTAATCTTAATTTCAAGCGCCTCAAAACATTCTCATCACTAGCTTATTGTTGTTGTGTATTGCGTTTCTTTCTGTTTGGAATAATGTAATATAGCAAATTAAGTATCTTTATTGTAATCTTCCTCTGAACTACAAAATATGTAAATGAAAATTAGTATTCTGGTTCCCTTTCTTTCGGTTCTCATACTCTGAATAATAGCTCTCCTTGCTTCTGTGTTTTTTATGTTGACACTCTATATTTGAATCCAAGCAATGTTGTTTTCGGGTATAGGTTAAGCATTCCAGGTATAAGGTTTAGTTTTAGGCTATATCACCCCATGATTTTAGATACATATATAAGGTCTGAAAAAAGGGTTAGGGTCACTTCTCAACCATATACTATGTATGCATACATGTATCTGTTTAACTCCCTAAGTGCATTCCAGTCAATGAATTCAGGCATTTGATCAGCTTATCTTGTTAGAAGCGATCATTGAATAGACACTTGAGTGATCCACTAGTACTTCCCAATTTCAAGTCCTGCATGCTTCCAAAAGCCCATTGAGACCTGATGAGGAGAGAAATATATCAACAGACAAATGATCCTGAAATCATTGCTGAATGGGGGGACAATATAGGTAATATAATTTCTGATGAGAGTTCTATTTACATAAGTAGTAGTTTCATGATAGAAGCTGATTTCTTATATTTATATGATGGAAAGGATCTTGAATTAATTAGGAGTGTTTTTATAGCATTTGGAATCTTACTTATTTGGTTCTCGACGAGGTTATAAGATCGATCCTAATTTATTAGGACAAGAGAGTGCAGATTTTTAGCATCCATCCAGGCAGGCAATGTTTTGATAATTCAACTAAAAGGAGATATATATATTTATGCTTGCTTTGGTTGCAAGCTAATATTTCCTCCCTATATCTTTCAAGTACAATCCTATTATAAGCAAACTGCTAATTGATGATATGCTTGTTTTGAGTTAGTTTCATCTTAATATTGACAACAGGTAACCTGCATTTCATAGCCAGATGATGACTATATATATATACCTTCCAGAGTCACTTCATCTTAGGAGGTGCCTGGTTTCGTGAAATGAAGCTGACTTACATAATAAAAATTATAAAGGAGATGATTCAAAAGGGTCTATTTGGATAGCAGATCTAAAATCTGCGTTTGAGTTTGAGTTTTCAGTGTAAATTGCTTAATTGGCTTTGGAAATAGTAAATGTGCATATTAATACATTTAACTCTTTTAGAAAATTATGAGGGATTTCAAATGAAACTTTTCTTTGGAGTACCATTTCAAGTGAGGAAAAAGAAACACAGCTAATTTTGAGATTTTAGGTAAGTAAAGTTTTGATGTGACTTGCTTGTTTGTTTGTAGTTTTGCCTATGTAGCTTTTTTGGTTTATAAATATTCGGTTTATGGGACGAGTCACACCTAACAAGAAAAGTTAAATAGACACTAATTAAGACCGAGAGACTCTATAAAGATCCCAAAACATAAGTTCATTATGTTCCTTATAATTACATTCGTACACATTTTTTCACATTAGTAAGATTCGTATCATATCATATGGACCGAGATTGAAATATATAATTTTACCATCAAATGAAGCCCAATATTGAAATAGAAAAAGAAACATCCCTAATTTATAATTGTATAGATTCAACTCACCTCCTCGTTTCCGAAAGAGTACGGATATTATGGAATAAGATTGCGGCTTGAATTTTATGTAACAATGATATGACGGCAACATATGAAATTGTTGGCTCCCATAAGCATATTGTTCCCGATCGGTGTAGATTGCGATATGGTGGCCTCCGTCCTAGTTGCTGCTCTTGTCCTTTACTCCTTTTTGCTAGAAATTATACCATTTGAATTTATCAGATGAAATCGATTTCAATCATATTTGGCACCATCATGTACCAGCTTACTCAAAATCATATCGCTGATTATTCGATCAAACAAGACACCATTAGTAAATGCAATGTATACAATACATAATTCATCCATTTTTAAAAACCAATTTTGTTTTTTCTCTTTCTTTCTCTTCCCCCATTCAATTATTCCCATTTACTTTTACAGGACATGATGGTGTCGTCCCAGGAAGAAAAGGTGGTTCATTGGTTAAAGAAAGAATAGCCGTCCCATCTGGATTTTAACGTTCGTCTTCTGTTAAAATTTCTAGAAAGGAAATTGTGGATGATATATCATGTAGCGAAACCAAAGAAAAAGAAAGGGTTAACAAGGCGACACATGAATTATCGTCTTCTTTTTTGCTATAATTACCGTTGTTTAATTCTATATATCTTTTTTCGGCCAGTGAGATATGACTCAGTTGATTGAGTTCTTCCATCTCCGCCTTTGTCTTCAGACTCCCAATGAATATTTTTATTTTTATTCTCACGGTCTCTTTCTCACTCATTATTGAACTTATCAAACTGAGCGATAAGAAAAAGACACAATATAAGTGATTTTTTTTATCTTTCATGATGAAGATGACATGAACCTGGCTAACAACTGGCTAATTACAAACCTTTTTATTTTCAAATGGGCAAGTGTGCTCTAATAATTTGCATCAGAGTGTTTTGGTCACTCATAACTGAAAAGTTGCAAGTAACTGCAATTTTCTTTTGTTCGCAACATTATCGTATTGTAATTGTGCGATTGTACCTGCCGCACATCCCAGAAATATCACACCCTAGATCCTCGGGTTCATTTTCATTTTTCTTCAACCAAAGCAAAGACCTACACATACATATATATTGAATATTTTAATTTCATTTATAAAAAGAAAAGGTAAAAAAAAGGTATATTCAGTTCCCAAAAATATACGTGTAATTGGTATGAAACAAAAGTTATGTAGTACTGAAACTTAAATTTTGATTCCTACTTTTACTTTTCTATTGTGTAGGTACAGGTGCCCATGCGACCAGTTCCTGCAGGTTACCCCAACCCTGCAACCTTGACCAGACCTGATTGAGCCCTCTTAAATATCAAAACAAAGGCAGGCGGGCAGGCGGGCGCAGGACCACAAAAAGAAACGTATCAAAACAAAACATGTTGAATAGATCGAAGCCACACAAATCCGGATCTTGCATATTTCAGAGAGAGATTATAAGAGAAAGAGATATAATAATGGAAGTCAGGGTACAGAGGCTGTTCATAGCAATTAGTATTGCTCCAGCCTCAAGATCTCTTCCATCAACATCTACTTTTTGTTTTTGCTTTAAATGTGGAAAGAGGCCAACGAAAACCCTAGAAAGGAGTAGAAAGATCGTCTTTCCAATCTAACTTCCATGAAACTAGAATACCAGAGAAACCCACAGATTAATGATCTTGAAATTTGTTCATGGAAACTACCATCTTGAGCATGAACTTACCTTTCGTGCTCTCTTTTGAAGTTGAAGTAGAGCCAGGAGAAACAAATTGTAAGAAAAACTAAGATCTACAAAACCACGATGAGATGCCCCTCCCCACAAAACACTCAAAAAGAAAAAATACCTGAAAAGAAACCATAAATTATCATTCGGGAATTTCCTGTCCCAAAATCTGCGGGAGAGAGATGAGAAGAAAAAGTTGACCTACTCTGAAAAACCCTAGGAAAATCATGACTGCGGTACCTGAGAAACCCTAAGAGAAAGAACGAGCAAATTACACCTGGTAACACCCTATTGGTGATGGGATAACAGTTTGTCTTTGAGTGGTTGGATCAATTGGAGAAGTGGGAAACACCCAATCTGGTGGAGAAAGTACCCTTGCGCATATGAGAAATGACACTCCTTCTGAGTTGGTCTAAACCATTATTAGCTAGCTATAGTGCAAGAAATAATTGCACCACTGCTGGCCGTCCACCTAATCTTGAAACCTGATTATCTTCTAAATGTTAACTTACACGTTCTTTCTTCAATAAATTAGTAATATTATGGTCTAGTCCAGAGAAAAAGGGTCTTAACTTGACTTGCATATAAGAGGTGACATCTTGGTTGTATGTGTATGAGAAATCTCTATCCCTTATAGTTTAGACTTTCTATTTTTTAGTTAAAATTTAGCTAAAAACATTAGGAAACTATTTTAGGAGCCCTCTATAAAATTTTAACTCCAATCATACTCTCTAATTTAAAGAGTCATAAATATTTTTAATATTTTTAAATTCAATTTTTGAATAAAGTATAAACACAAAAGCAACAATAAAAAATAGTTGGCATTAAATAAATGCCTAAATTAATATTAAATATATAAACATTTAATGCTAACTATTTTTTAATAGAGATTGACCAATCAAAAATGTGTTATAGCATTTATGACTATCCAAATTATTGAGTATGGTTGGAGTTGAAATTTTGTAGAGAGCTCTTAATATAGCTTTCTTATATTCTTAGCCAAATCTTAGCTAAGAAATAGAGAGCATCATTGTGGATGCTCTGAGTCTTTTTTTTCTCCTTAGATTTAGAAGCTCCTATTGGTCTCCCTATTTTAGAAGTTGAATAGGGCGCATGGTTAGAGGTGGGTTATTTCAATTCCTTTTTAAATTTTAACTGAGGTAGTTTAGAAAGTTCATTGTAAATACTCTGTACTTAAAAAAAGGAATGAAAAAGGGGTATTATCCACAACTCCTTTTTTTTTTGGGCGGATGAAATATTATCCACAACTCCTTCAGAAAGTTGCCCACAATGAAAACAAAAAAGTTGAGAAGGAACATAAAGTAGCTAGTGAAGTAGAAAGAAACCTTTCCCATTGGGTCATGTACACCTGAATGTTGGAATGGACTAATTAATGATCAATTAGTTCAATTAATCTAATGAGCAAGCCCAACCTAGTTCATCTGTCATCAAATTCTATTAGTTCGGTTAATCTCATAAGCAAGCCCAATCTTGAATGTTTCAGCACTTGTTTTCTCCAAGTAGTAACATATATGTTTTCAACAAACCACCCTGAAACAAATATCCCAGAGAAGAACATAACTAGAAGCATCATTTGAGGATTTAGGACAGGGAAAAAATGCTCAAATATGGCAAAGCAGAAAAGGTGTGCCAATAATGGAGCTTGTTGCTTCCTTTTGTGGGGCTTGTGGGAGTTGTTGCTTCAAATCTGCTGACTATTTATGGGAGTTGTTGCTTCAAATCTGCTGACTATTTATGGGAGTTGTTGCTTCAAATCTGCTGACTATT